CTGTAAGGAACCTGCTCAGTTATCCCTGTGAGGAACCTGCTCAGTTATCCCTGTGCCCACAGCTCTGGTTCCTGACACACACCTGGCTTAGGACACATGGGATTCCACTGTGGCCACTCAAGGAAGGAGGGAGTTTCAGAACCAAGACTTGCCTGTGAACCAACATTCCTGGAAATCAAAGAGAATTCCCTCTTCTAAAAATTACTTGATTTTGGGTTACTCATTAAAAATAGTTTCTACCCATCCTGGATGCAATATGACTAGATATCAGTGAAGAAACTAAGATATAAAAGAGCATGTACAGAAGTACATCTTTCTATCTGTTCAGTTATATGCTGTAAGAAAGCAGCTAAAGCTTTCCCTTGGCTTTTCTTGTGGTGCCTGTACTTGAATTATTGAGAGATCTGTGCTTTAGAGAAATACTCAGCCAACTCGATTGCTATCAAAATAACTTTTACAATTATTTTGCAGACTATTGCTTAGAGAGCCTGGACAGTGAACAGTCGTTGGTGGGAAAAATGTTAGAAAAAGATTTTGCAAAATCTCCCAAACACAGCAAACAGTCTTCACCAGAAATTCTTTCCAGCAGCAGACTTATCATACCTGATGTGTCTGCTTTTCTATGCACATTTGCTTTTAAATACTGCTGTGGAGTTATGAATATAGAAATACATATATAAATGTGTTGCTTGAGATTCAGGAAAGGGCCAACATGGTATGTCAATAATGTTAATAATGCTGCTTCACTTCCTTTATAGTAGGACCCACCACAGCATGCACACACTTTTGTTTAAGGTGTTTACACTGGTTGAGGAATGACATTATACTCCCAGAGCCCATTTCAAGTCCAGAAATGCATAAAAAACCCCATTTTGCTTATAATTTTGTCATTGTTAAGAATTAACCTATATGCATCTCTAACATCTGAACGTGGCTATCAGTGCTTCCTTGTGGCATACTGGAAATAATAACAGTAACTATGAGCACAAAGGATAACTGCATTCTTTGGATGATATTAAAGATACCAGTGAGCCCCAGATGTTACATCCAAGAGATTCCCCATGCCCATCACTGCAAGGAAGCCACCTGTTATTGTTCTTTAAGATAACTCTAAAGAGAAGAGCTTCTGCCAAGGCAAAGAATGACTAAAGGTGGAGTCCTGAGGAAGAACTTGTGTGCAGTGTTGAGCCAGTAATTCTGGGAGCCAAGCACTCAGCCTTGCCCAGTCAGTACAGGGGCAAAGGAATATCATTGTTCCCAACTCCACACAAAAGTGCACATATAGCATGGTGTTGTTATGAAACAGGCAGATGAAAGGTGATGGTGAGCAAGATATCAGTGTGAATTTTCTTAGGAACTGGCTGTTGTTCTGTTTTGGAATTGAACTTTGTGAATTTGGCTCTTTACCTATGCAATCCTAAAAGGCATGAAGGACATAGATGCTGATTTTTGTCTCAAAAGGTGGTCACACTGCCACCCTTCTCACAATTAGAGACACCCTCATTCCTATCATCCTCTTAATAAACTTCTGGCAAGGAATTGAGAAACTGGAGGAGAGAGATGTGAATATTCAGAATGTCTGAAAGTTCTGAGCAGCCCTCTGTTATCTCCTGTTTTCATCTTTAGAGATTTCCCAACGCTGTGGTCTGGTACCCACAGTATAGTTGACAAACTGTAAATAAAAGATCTTTCCTCAACATATTTGTAGCTGACAGGAGATAGGAAACGCTCAGAATCTACTTGGTCAGCATCTTATTGTCAGATATCCAGCAAAATGTTTTAAAGTCCAGGGAACAGAGTCATTTGGATTTGCCTTATTGTACAATAGTAGGGTTAAGGCTCTGAAAGGCAGCTCAGCAAACAATATCTTTGAGCTCTTCCCTGATTTATACTGCTGGCACCCTGAAATGAACAATAGTGTTGTGTAGACCTTAGTGTAGATATTACATAAAAAAGAGATCTTTTAAATGTTACATACACTGAATAAAGGAGAAATATTTGATACCAAAGTCTGAACTCACTCGAAGCCATCACTTTTCAAAACTGACTTTGTCTGTATTGGGCTTAGTTTTGCCTAGAGAGAAAGTGGGAAAAAGGTAGTAGAAGGAAGCTTTGACCATTGAACCACATTATAGAAGAGGAGGTTGTAAAGATGCAGAGAGTACTTGCAGGGAAAATTATTATTCAAACATTGCTGTCCAAGACCTGGCGTGGTGGCTTGATGGGGAAAACACTTCTGGGTGCAGAGAGCTACAGTATAAAATATATTTAACTCCTTTCCATTTCTCATCTTCCAAAGAGTTCTCTCCTCTCTCTAACGTGACAACAGATACATCAGCTAGGATGCAGTTCATAAAAACAACAACAATAAAAAGAGTCAACTTTTACAGAAAAAAAGCGCATTATAAGTACTAGGGAAAAGTTTTGTGAATTCAGGCTAGCTTTTCAAACATTCAGACCACCCCTAAAATAGCAGCTACAGTTCACAGGGGCCAGAGCTACACAAATTCCAGCTCTCCCTATGTGGTAAGTCTAATACTTTCTTTTCTTATGCTTTAAGGACTTCAAATAGGGTTTGTGCATTTGACTCCTTTTATCTCTTTCATGGAGTTCTCTCTGCTTTTAAATCCCTAAGTATCTCTGTCCTCCCCCTGCCATTCCTTAACAGATCCAGGACAGCACAAATAATGCCTCTTGGCTTTGAACACATCATGGCAAATTTCACTGACAGAGGGAAGATGTCTGAGCAGTTATCTGGGATAGTTTTACACCAATCCATCTATTGTCCGCTATGTTCACAATCTTGGGCTGCAGTGAATGTCAGGCACAGTGCATCCCTCTCAGGCCACTGAAAATAGAATAGGTTCTGTCTGGGGTCCCCGTCCTATCTGATGTTAAGCACCTTACTGCCTCGGGACCTCTCTAAGAAATAGGTCCCTTAAATTTCCCCAGGGCTGCACAGGGCTTTGTCTCCGGACAATGAAAAGATGACAGGAAGATGGCAACGGTTTTGGTGCCTAAAATCCTCCACAATTCTAGGGAAAAAAATCACCCCATCTGCACAAAAGGATACCAACTCAATATGCAGATATGAAGAAGGAAGTATTTAAGAGCAAGGCAAAAAACCCCTTCTTAAATGATGACCCCACAGGCCTCTGTCCTGTTTCTGCTGTCAGGATCTACATGCAGGTTTTTTTGGGAAGGCAATGCTTGAAGGGACTCACCTGAACAAAGCTGAACAATTTCAACCTGCATCTGTAGGACTGGGTCTTCTGTAAGGTATTCATGAGAGAGGCTTGTATTTCTTCTTCTGTGTGGTGCCTGTCATTGGTATAAAACAAGAATGGTATAAAACAAGAACTAATCATTACAATGCTAGCATGGAAATCCAGTCATTTACATTTTCTAGGTATTCTGTTTAATCAGTGCAATAAGACAGAATATTTGGTGTCTCCCTAGCATTGTACTTGCATACTTTGCCATAAATTTTAGCCTTTGGTGAGAAAGAATGGTTACAGAAAAACAGTCACTGCTCTGCTATTGTATTGTAATTCCAAATGCAGGAATTCTGTGTTTCAGCTAAGACATATTTGCATAATTTTAAAGCTTGAATTGTAAAAAATGTGAAACGCCTGCAGTTACTGTGAAACATTCGAAAAGTAAAGCAGATTCTTACAAACATTTTTGTAACACTGTATTTTTAAACATGCAGTTCATTAGCGAAGAAAACACAGCTTGTGTAATGAGGGATTGCTATAAGTAGATTTAATATATTCTAGCATTTAAATATTATTGTTGATCATAAAAGATTAAATGCCCTTTGGTTTCAATCCTCTTATTGGAAGCAGCAAATTTATTTTTCTTGAGTGTGGCAAGAAAGTTTAAACTAAAATGTAAATGCTTAACAGATTCTCTGCATATGTGCACACAGGCGTGTGATGAAGAGATGGGGCATTTTCCCCAAAGCTTCAATTTCAACTTACTCATTTGTTATCATTGCTCATTAACTACGTGGTTGACCTAAGATGAGCCTGAAGGATTACAGAATATTTGTCTAACTATTTAACAGGAGCTTATAAAATAATAGTATTTGTTAAACACCTCAGGTTTCCCTCCCACCACAGTTGTAATCTGAGGACATGAAAGGGCTGGATGGGTTGAAGGCAAACACAGTGCTGCTGGGCTGGGTCAGATGTGTGAGTTCAGCCTGGTTTGAATAGGTAACCCAGTCCACAGTGTAACTACATTAAAGGGAGTTTCTGAGAAACCACTGTCAACTCTCTGATTTCATGCTGATTTGCTTCTGGATGGGAGCTGCTGTTTTTCATTGGGTGGTTGAGCAGCTGGGATAATCAAATTCATGTCACCTGCAAGCAAGGGTGGAATGAAAGGCATGACTAAATGGGGAGGAAAACCAGGGTAGTGTTTCACTGTCACCTATGTCCTCAAAATCCCGCTTATGCTTGCCATTGCACTCGCTGGGTGGGGGGTTTCTCATGGGAACACTGACAGCTCAGAGCTCACAAAAGCAAAGCCTGGAGGAGCTGTGCAGAGAGCAGAGCCCTGAGGTGCTGTTGCCTTGCTTGGACATCACCAGCTTAGGGCACATTTCAACAGGGGGAAACTGTGTCATCCTTCCTCCTGCTCAGTGCCTTTTGGTGTGTGGGCCAGTTTGGACAGGAGGAGTGGGGCAGCCCTACCTCTGGTTATAAAGTGTTCTTTGCTACTGCTTCCAAAATGGCTTTGCACTTCTGCTGCTGTCACAGAGAGAGAACCTAATTTCTACTGCTTGATAAAAGAGTCTCATATCTTAAAAGAAAAGAGAGAGCTCCAGAAATTCGACACCTGAAGCCTGTTGGAATAAGAACACACCACATGGGAATTATCTACATTGCTTCTGTCAGGATCTAGCAGATGGGCCTGGGTTAACAGGCTTGCCTTGCTCAGGAGCCTCTGCTTGCACTTTCCCTGTTAGAGCCTGAACACAAACTGCTTTTTACCTGCCACGCTGCAGGACACCATTGTGCCAGCCCATAACACCAGGGAGGGAACTCAGAGCCAGACCCCAAGTTTCCTGCCGTGGCAGATCTCATTTCTCATTCCAGATTTCAACCAGACTGGAAGCCCCTGTGTCCTAACCTTGCTCCTGAACCAGAACCACAACTGGACACATCACAGAATTTACTGGTAGGGTCTCCCAGGCAGAAAGTCCTTTTGGAGACTGTGGTAAAAGCTGAGAAAAAATTCCAGCTTATAGTTTCAACATAAGCTTTAAATAACACTCTTAGGGATCTTCCACGTGTAAGGACTGAACTCAGAATTTACCCAACCCAGCATAAGAAGACAGAGCAGGACATGTGTTTGACCAGAAACAGACTTTCAGACCTTCTTGAAAATAATTCTTTGGTAGTTGAGTGTTCCTTGCTAGTTAAAGAGGTACTTCCTTTCTAAGCCCCTTTATGAGTTTCCAGAAAAAAAAATTACTCCTTTAGGCTGATACTTTTGTAGCTTTTGGAAAGTTTGGTAAAAATCCATATGGTTGGTTTAGAGCATGCTTAAAGAATTGTTTCAGATGTTAAACTTGTGCTAGGGTAACTGAAAACAGTTCAAACTTGGCATGTAATCTCCAGTGAGAAATGTGGGCTTGGATAAGTTGGAAAAAAAATTGGTTGAGAAAGAAAGGAGTTATAAACAAGTGGAAATCGTATGCTTCAGTTATCCAGATGTGTGCCAGGCAAGCACAGACGTCTGGAGAGCCACATGCTGAAATAAATGCATCTGTATTTATTTAAACGTGTGATGTAATGTTCATGTGCAAACATCTCAGTAAATGGTAGGCATGTTAATTTTTCCCATCTCACAAAATAAATGTGGACAATACATGAGATACACACATAAATGTCTGGCTGACCAACAGAATGACCCAGAGCTCTTGGACACCAGTGAAGAGGCTGTTCCCAAATGTAACAGGATATGGGTCAGGGTCCAATGCCCTGCAATCCCGTTCCTATATTAAAAACCAGAAAGGGTAAATACACATGTAAAATGTTACAAACCTCGTCAGTCCCTAAAAGTTTCCATTACACTATCTCAGATAATACGTGGTGCCAACTGTGATGAATTAAATGTTTCCACAGCCAGCAAAAGCTGTTCAAAACCTAAACTGTAATATATGATTTTCTCGAGTCAGAATTTCAAAACACAACCTTTTAAACAGAGGTTCAATCATCAAATCCACAGGAGAAGTAGCTCTGGGCTTTCTTGCTGAAAATCCAAATTACTTGGGTGCCAAATCTTCGTACGCCCAAAACTGGTGTCGCTCCACCGACTTCAGTGGGGCTGTGCTGATTTACACCAGCTGCATGGCTGGCCCATAAATATTTTCAGTTGATCTGGATTATTTTATATATTATATGAATATTCTTTATGTATTACATGGCGAAACATTTGTTCTCAGCTCCCATAATGTCAGGCTCTGTGAATTTATTTTAATACGGGATCATTCGTGTGGTTCTATTATTGCACAACTAAATACACTTGTGCTCACAACAGGATTTTACTACACGTCCTCCCATTTATGCACTCACAGACATCCAGCAGAAGAATTACTATCACTCCATCTACCCACAGGAAGTCAGATATTGGCGTGAAAAAGTGAAGATGCAGCTGCTGCGGGAAACAAAGCCCTGAATGTCAAGCTGTTGGTCATGAAAAGATTTTCTCCACAACACTGTGGTAAGTGCAATTCTTTGCATGTAGTTATGTTAGTGGGGTTTTAAAGTTAATCATGCCTGTTATTATTCATCAGGGAGGTAATGCTGGACACTTCACTTAGCACTTTGACACAAAGGTAAATAGATTCCAAGGATGCCGAGTAGTGGGATAATGAGATTTTATTAAATCTGTGATCTTCCCCTCTTGTATTGGCACTTACTGCAGGTCCCTTATTCTGTGCAGCATTTTGTTTGCAATAGCTCAGGGTTTGGATTTATTGTGGGGTCAGTGGATACACTCAGGCCTTTCATTGCTGGGCCATGTGCAGCAAGGTGTGCAGCCACCTCCTGAGAGCCTGGGGCAGCACAGACACCCTGCAGCCAGGCTGGGCACAGCAGAGCTGCACATGCAGCCAGGGAAATACCCTCTCAGCAGCTCAGGAGAAAGTGATGCTACACAATCCCATTTAGGATGCCAGTAAATAAAACATATTTACACTGCTTTTAAAGAGAATATATAAAGAATTGTTACCCGACATCTTCTAATAAGTACAGAATCGTGGAAGGACTCAACAATAGTTTGCTTAAAACTGTCCTACCAGCTTTTAAAACTGTCTTCCCAGTTTTTTAATCCTGCTTTTTCTCTGATTAAGTATAGCCCATAACATTCTGGTCCACAACATGTTTAGTTTGTGTTAGTCATTCATTAATCCTCAACAAAATATTTGTCAGTTAAATGTTGAAGTCGAGCACAATCAGAGGAAATGCAAGAAACTTGCACAAGAGACTATTGGTCCTGCTCTCAAAACCCATGCAACCCTCTGATAAAATCCTTCTGAATCCAAATTCGAGACTGAGATTGAGGGATATGGTCTGGTAAATTGGCAGGGCCTGAGAGCAGTTACCAGCACCTGCCCAGATGGTACCTATCTTTGCTTTTATAAGCCCCACTTTCATTTACAGTTTTCTAGAAGAGAAAGTTCAAAGCAGCAACAACTATTTAATATGTGTAGACTTTCCTCTATATGCCAGAGAAATTAATACTGAAGAAATTTCCTCAGTTGTCTTGGACTGTAAAAATGCAGCCGGACTGGCAGATCTGTTCCCTTAATGCCCGCAGGCTTTGGGGCATCGAGTCCATGGAACACACCATGGGGCAGGAAATGGCACTGCTGCCCCAGGGCATGGGGTACTGAGGCTGGGGAGGCTGAGGAGTGGCTGGGACACAGGGAGAGCTGTGCCCTGCTGCCAGGATGGGAGCTGTGCCCTGCTCCAGGACCTGCTGCCAGCTCAGCCAGGCTCCCCCAGGGGCAGCTCCTGCCTGCTGGCTGCACTGTCCTCTCTCACAGTGGAATATCTGACAGAGGATGGACTGTCTGCCTGCTCCTCCACAGAGAGGTTAAAATCAAGGCAAAGCTTGCAAGGGTTAAAGGCTCTGGAACTCGACATGAAACAGTCCAGCAGCTCCAGCGAGGGTTAAGACACGCCTGTGACACCGGGAGACACAAAGGGACTCTCCTTCTGTGCTACATATGTAGATGGGTATTAAGGACATGCATCTCCCCTCATCTAAAATCATGAATTTTTATGAAGTAAGCCCTGCATTCCCATAATTCAGTAGGGTGCACTTTGCAGACCCTAAAGTGCTGTCACTACAGAAGGTTTCATTGCTTGCACCTGCTAAAACATTTGAGGTATTTGAGAGGCAGTGAAACACATTTGCTTTTCATTTTATCTGACTTTGAAAATCTTTGAAGTGTTTAATAGTAGTCCAGAAAAGATTTCTGCCTCTTAATCATTTACTTGTAGGGCACATTCTCCACTGGTAGCCTGTCAGGCAGAAAACGAGTTTAGCCCAGTTTTATTAAGTGCCACATGCCGAGTCAGTGTTCATTAAAGGTGTTTCAAGGTTTGAATTATGTAATTTATGAGAAAAAGAAATACAAAATTCCATTGTTTTATTAATATGCAGCACAGGATATACTGCTAATAACATACTTTTTAAACAGAAGTTTTATTAAAAAAAATGCTTTTATAGGGGGCTACAGATAGGCTTTTAAAAATCTCTTTTTCCCTGTTCAATAAAATTCAAACATTTTAATTCAATCAACATAGATTTGAAAAAAGGAACTATTCTTAACCTCTCCTTTCGGTCACTTTTCTTTACACACGTTGTAGACAAAGGGGAAAAATAAAAAAAACATTGGAAACTTCTTTTTTCCTTTTTAATAGAAGCGACAGTATATGGTATTAAAAGCAAGTCAAAGCTGAAGCCTACAGTCAGATGTTAATTCACCCTTTACACAGAACAAAGCCAGAAAAGGACAGAAATAGTAAAGGCAAAAAAAGAAAATAAAAACTCCACATTATAACCCCAGGAGACAATACTTTCCAGAATTATTTTAAATTGCCCCTACAGATTCACAGCTAGTGGGATATTTTTAATTAGATGAGGGCTTAACTCAATCTTTTGGTAGCCCACTAAACTACTTTTATGGTCTACATTGTTTTAATATTGTAAATAGATTTTCTTAAGCATATGTGAAAAGCAGAACTTGTGAAACATAAGGAGTACATTTTTCTTCCCAGCCTACCTGGCTGGAGTTACCTGAGCCCAGCCCTGGAAGCCCAAGGTGGGCCCGATCCTGCAGCTGGAGCTGGCAGAGAATCTCTGTCCCCTGGGACAGGGTCACCCCAACCCAGGGCTCTCCTCACCCCACCTCTGTGCCAAAACTCCCACCAGCATCCCAGAGTTTTGCTTCAAAAAGAGATTGTGTGAGGCCTGAGGAACCAAGACCTGAGTTTAATATGAACTTTTATTGCCATGGGAAAGTCCTGGTTACCCAAACTTACACCAAACTGGAATTCATTAACCCCTTCAAGGCAGGCCAGGCTGCAGTTCCTCAACTGGTGGGTTTGTTGTTTGCTTCCGTTTAATTTATTTCATTACTTTGCTATTTACTGATGCTCTGCCACGTCCTGGGAACAGAGGAACACTGGTGCTTTGGGGTGGACATGCTCTGTCCACGGGGGTGAGCTGCTGGATGGCTCAGGCTGTGCAAAATGGAAAGAGCTGGTGCCCAAAATCAGTGCTACTGGAAAGCTTAAGAAAAAATAACCATTGCAAATGCGATGCAAGTCACTAATTTTGGAGCCCCACGTGACTAATCCTGCTCATATTTTGCTAAAAGGATGATCATATGGAATCTCATCACAGTTTATGAAGAGGGATGTGTTAGTGTCAGACTTTTCAGGTTTGGCTTTTCCAGCAAATGAACTCTGCATGTGCCTCATCATTTCATTACAGGAGGGATGCCCTGTGCAAGGGACACTGAGAGTCAATAATTACCAAAAAGCTGCAAAATATGAAGTTGCTGACACTGAATAACTGGTCATAAGAAATGGTATCCAGAATACAGATGTGGTACCAAAACATCTTGAGTAGGGATAGTAATTATTCTTGAGCACAAGCATTAAGTTTTGAACTTGAGAAGAGGGGAAAACTCGTAACAAAATCAAAAATTTGTTCATTTGATCCAGAGCAACATTTTTAATGAATTCTTTGGATGCAAGAGCCAAGAATTCTTAAAAAAACCCTTGCCCCGCAGAAAATGCACCTTTAAAAACCTCTTTGCTTTGAATGAAACATTATTTTTAGTGAGTCCTCATTTTATGGCAGGCACATGCTTGTAAAAGCTGCCATTGTTTGTGTGGAAGGTGTGAGGGAAAAAATGCAAGGGGGAAAACTGGCAGATGCTTTACCTTCCAGCATCCTGGCTGCTTTAGAGGCAGCTTCCCCAGCCCTGGCTCTGCTGAGGAGCCACTGGCACAGGCAGCCTGGTTGGCTGCAGCACTGGGGAAATTTGGGAGCCAGAGCAGTGCACCAGCTTTTTCTCCAGCTCTAAGTTGCTGCTGTCAGAGATGACCTCCTCAATGGCTGAGGGAGGCTCCTTTTGGGAGGGAATTTGGCAACGTGGCAGCGGTGCTTCCGTCGCTCACTGCGGTGTGGAGGGAGCTCTGATGAGTCTGCTCCTTCTTCTGAACCTCACAGAGAGGTCTGCAAGCTGTGGCCATGTCCATGCTGTGGCCACGTCCATGCTGTGGCCATGTCCATGCTCTGGCCATGTCCACTCCTGCTTGGAAAGGACCCTTCCCTTCAGCACACACATAAGGAGCAGAATCCTTGTCTGCCGGGCTCCTCACCTCATCCCCAGAGGATGGGAGCACTCATTACCCCTCTGAAGTTGGGAGAAGGTGTTTTTAATTCAAGTGGAGGAACTGGCTGCTTCAGTTTTATTGCAGAATCATGCTAGTAATACATCCAGATTACTGCAGCTCACAGTAAGGAAGTCAATTTATAATGACTTTGCCATTGTCCTGTTGCTAATGTGCCACATTTGATTCTCCTCAGCTGGCTTTGAAAGGTCTCTTTGAGGAAGGAGGAGATAGCACCCTTGCTTATGAAAAAGGCAAATTATACCCAGGGGCAACATCTCTGCACAACAGGAAAAGGGCAGCCTCCTCCCAGGAGACACGGCCCCAAATTAAATGCAAGTAATTTCCTGACTAACCTGTGATTTCTATCTGGTTGTGGCTTCTGGCATACAGCTAAGTCTCCAGTCCTTCTGTTCTGTTCAGCAGGTCTCACATGTGCTTTCACTTTCATTTCCAAACTTTAATGCAGAACAGCCCATCCCCACAACCTGCTGCTGGGGCAGCAGGGCCGAGGGTGCTGCTCTGGGTTGTGCAGCTCTGGGTTGGGCAGGAGCAGGGACTGTCTGAGTGTCAACCCACAGGAGGGTCCCTCAGCCACAGCAGCAACGTGCCAGCAGAGGAGGTGGGACTGGGGGGAAGATCAACACAGTCCTGGGAATGGTTCCTCCAGGTCCCATGTGCCACCCAAGAGGGTTTAGGGTCTGGCAGGGGAGGAGACACCTCGGGAAGGGGCTGAGCTCTGGCAGGTCCCATGGAGCGTGTGATGCAAGGAGAGAACCTTCAAGAACAACAAAAATTACATTCAGC